AACAAGAAGTCTGTGTTCTTCAGCGGAAGATTTGTTTTGGATAAATTAGTGCAGTAAAATTCGCCGAAAATACATTTTTTGGCATGAAATCTTACACATTTAACGCTATTAAAAACAAAGTTGTTTACACCTCGGCGAAATGAGATATACCGATATACTGCTTGATACCTTCTTATAGCCGCGTTACTATATGAAACTGCACGCACGTAGTTCTGGAAAAAACATCTGTCGGAAAACAGCGAGAACTTATTCAACGTCTTTATATATATATATATATATATATATAGTATAATTGTAATCTATATCTGAGATAGCGCTTTAGCAGATAGTGTTGATTCCCACTATCTCTATTTTTATATACGTGATGGAGTGTTAAGTACGTACATAAAATAGATATGAACTCCGACTAAAACGAATAATAATTATTACATTGATATATAAATAAGTAATTTTTTTTTTAAATTGCTAGAAAATGAATTATTGTTACATATATCACTGAATAGACGGTCATATTAGGCTCTTTATACTTGATGACAACAAATCTGAGATAAGGAAAAATACGACCAGGGTCTTTGGGAGACACTTTCCCTCAGTATGCGCCGGTTACCTGCATTCAGTTCTTATGAAATTTCCGTTTGTTTCTGAACAAGCACTTATCATAAACATATATATGCTGCGAATATGGTTTTTTAAAAACTGCTGTACCCTCATATGCCGAAGATTCTTCAGGACATATGTATAAAACATAATTAACATTAGACGATATTCAAGTCAACATGAAAAGATTTGAATATCATCCAATGTTAATTATATTTTATACATATGTCCTGAAGAAAGTCTACTAGACCGAAACGTCTGACGTTAAAATTAAATTAACATTAAAACAGCATAATTGCATATTAGGATTTTTGTTTATCCGTATATTTTCTTCATACTGTCGGATCTATATCCATATATTTGCTTACACACACACACATATATACATACATACATATATATATATATATATATATATATATATATATATATATATATATATATATATATATATATATATATATATAACACAAATGGGAAATTGTATGACAAACTAAAAAATGTTTATTCAAGACTTCAACGTACAAACTTTGTTATGTTAGTAGGACTACACATGCTCACGAGAGAGGAGTGCTGGGAAACTTTTTTTTTTAACTAAACGAATTCATTTAGAGTCGTTTTCTTTTTCTTTCCGTTACTTTTCCAAGTAGGTATACCACACTGTGATATTAGCAGATCTACCATGGATGCTGAAATGTTTTAAGAACTAGATTGCAAATATACTGTATGTGACCTAGCGATTCTGACACACTCTAGATATTTTCGTCGTAGTTAACTATTTTCTTCTTTGACCAGAGTAGAATATTTATGTCAAAAATGTGGTCAGTCTCGTTACGGTAGGTAACTAAATCATATGACGTATTATTTTGTTCAATGTCCCTTTTGTGTTCATACAATTTTTATATTTAGGTTCTTTGAGGTTTCTCTTAAGTATTTCTGTGACAATTATTACTGGCGATGGATTAAACTAAAACCTGAAGGAGGATTTTTTTTTTATCTCCAGTAATATTTGTCTCAAAAATAATAAGTTATAGCTGTTCAATATCGGAGATAGATGACTCACAAATATAAATTGAATGAACATAGGAATTAACATTTAGCCAATGCTGCAGAACATCTAATGAGAGTCAACATGAATGATTACTCGTTATGATGACAGTATCTGTCAAATATATGCTAGTCTAGAAGCTGCCCCTCATACGGACTTTAGGCTACCACCTGCGGAAGGCATTTGGTCATTCGGCCTTTTACATTCAGCGCCCTAAGTACATAATAATTCGACATAATCTTTCTTCGTATACGCACCCGATCTCCGTAGATTGTTTACATTTATTTTGCACGCAATCTTTCTTTTCTTTTAAAATCACTTTTATAATCCATTAGAAAACCCGATCTATGTAATATTTGAAATACGTCATAGTACACATGCTACGAAAAGGAATAAAACATGAGCAACGTACCCTGTCAGGCTTAAGTAATGATTACGGTTTAATAGGACGATATCAATTGCAATGAAAATAAAATTTAAGGTTAAACCTTTAATAATGAATTTTTTTAAAACTTTCACTCTGATATTTTAATTCAACTTTAAATGAGTTATTTATTTAATATCAATCGACTGTAACTGTAGTCTTTACTGACTGTTACTTCAGGTTGTCGACGATTCGCCGAGATCGAAAAACAGACGGACGGACAGACACACGTACACTGTGCTTTTTATATATATATATATATTAATGTTAGTTCTGGGAAATCTTGCATTCATCGATCTCATCTCTTTTTATTATTGTTTTTTTTTTTTAATATACAACGTGAGTTAGCACGTGCGATACCCCGTCTTCATCAGCCGCCGACCAGGGGTGATATCACGGTTTCGGTGGCTATGGCAGGACCGCCACCCCTGGCGCCACCAGCAGCGTTTGCCACCAGGTATGGTATGAAGATAAGCTAATTAATCGTTCCTTTAAGTAAAATCTATCTACAATGAAAGTTTCCTGAACGCGTTTGCCGTTATTGACGTGCTCGTAAAAATCGTTATAGACGACCACGCAAATATCTCACTTGCGCATGTTAGATCGTGATGTTGCGCGCATTTTATTTGCTTGTTTTGATCTCGACCAAATCCAACTTGACAATTTTTTTTATTTCTAGAAAAAAGTGGCAACTGTCTGCCCAAAGACGACTGTTAATCGTGTTAGTAAAAAAAAAACAATAATTAACAGCAGAAACGACGTCATTACCACTGCGATAGTGGGTTCACACTAAGTGTTTCTTTTTTTCATGTTGGGGAACAGATCAGGAGAGAAGGGAGAAAGATCAACCTGTCTAATGCTACAATCACACACATCACCCATAGAAAATATGAACTTAGTTCTAGAGCATTGTTTTAATGAAACAAGTACCATTTCTTAGATTTCCTGGGCGTTTGATCCCGATAGCCTTCCGTAAGTGACTCAGTAAGAGGTCATAGTATTCTCAAATTAAAGATAGTCAGCAAATACAGTGCCTTTTGCATCCCAAAATTACTAAAACTACCATCTTCTCTGCATAGGAAAGGACATTGACTTACTTTTGAGCAAGCGGGGAGAGCTGTTTTACTGAATGGATCGTCATTTTGTCTCTGGTTCAAAGTGATGAATCCAACACTCTGCCTGGGTGAGAAAACGTTCAAAGAAACCAGTTGGATCTCGAGCAAACAATGTCAGATTTTGCTGTGATATGATCACCCTGGTGAGCTTTTGATACGGTGTCAGAAAACGTGACACCCACCGAGCAGACAACTTCGTCGTGCTATGTTCATTGAGCAGAATAATCTCAAATCTCTCAAGGGATATGGTAATAACATTGGCTAGTTGATTTATAATCAATCGCCTGTCATCCATCTACAAATGACTGACACATTGTATGTTATCCTCGGTGGTGGCAGTTGCTGGATAAACAGACCTTGGGTCATCTTTAAGATTCTCGCTTCTACTTCTAAATTCAGTTGTCCACTTTTGCCGTTTTGATAGAACTAGACGATCATCTACTAACGTAGCAACTATGTCAGCAGGAATGTCCTTGGGGATCTAAACGCACGTTCTGCAGCTGCTTGATAGCAAAACGATGCGAAATTTTGTTAATTTTAACGACAAGTTACAACTAGTCGCATTTGAAGTCTTCTTTGAACAGTCAGATGACAATGCAGATATAAATAAGAAAAGCTGAGATTAATGCATGCAAAACTTAACAAATTCTCGATTCACACTTTTATATTCAACCTATGAAGTCTTTGGCGCATCCTCGCTACACACACAACACCCCTCTCTCTCTCTCTCTCTCTCTCTCTCTCTATATATATATATATATATATATATATATATATATATATATATATAAATGATAATAAATTTTATATTTATTTGTTATATATATATATGTAAATGATAATAAATTATATATATATGATATATATTATATGCAAATGATAATAAATTTATCTATATACATATATAAATTATAAATTTTATCTTGATATATGATATATAATATATATATAAATGATGATAAATTTTATATATATTATATATATATGTGTAAATGATAACAGATTTATATATATGATATATATATGTGTGTGTGTAAACGATAATTTTATATATATGATATATATATATTTATATATATAATAACAAATTTATCTATATATCTATCTATCTATATATATATATATATATATATATATATATATATATATATATATATATAAAATGGAAATAAATTTTATCTGCATATATATATATATATATATATATATATATATATATATATATATAATAAAATGTAGGTTTAAGGTATGCTATATTTATGAGTTAAAGTCATCAATATAAGTGATAGAGCATATGGTCTGACGGTGGCGTATAAGAATGAAATAGATTGTCGCCGCTGGTTGCTGACTGCAATGATCACATATATATATATATATATATATATATATATATATATAATATTTCTAGATATATTCAAACCGTGAATTATTACCATTAAATTTAATCGTCAGACGTAGCGCATCTATTGAAGGAGAAAGCGATTGCTAAATTTATACACACCCTATAATAGAAATAGTAATTAAGGACACGTCTTAGTATTGTTGTATAGGTTCAAAAGCCTATTCACTGGCAGCTGTATTATTGCTTGGTGTAGCATGTAATTATTCTAATTAAACTCTTAAAACCCTGTGCATTGGCAAGTTAACCTTCCCTGACCTGTAGTACACGTTCATTGAATAGGATGTATATTTATTAACTGGCCAAATTTGGATCAGAATTTGCTTAGGAATATGTTGCGCCAGTTCTCGAAATTGTATTTCTCTATATGACAGTAAAATCAGTATTTCCATCCACCTTTGGTATAAATAACGCACAGTCATATCACGTTAAATTAGCAGCACTCGTACGATCACCGAAGTTAAGCAACGTCGAGCCTGGTCAGTACCTAGATGTGTGACTGCTTGGGAATACTAGGTTCTGTACGCTTGGATATGCGGGTGGTGTAATAAGATTACGGCAACATCACGTAGAAAGACCGGGTCTCATACGATCCCCGAAGTTAAGCAACGTCGAGCCTGGTCAGTACCTACATGGGTGGCTGCTTGGGAATACTAGGTTCTGTACGCTTGGATATGCGGGTGGTGTAATAGGCTTACGGCCACATCACCTGGAAATACCGGTTCTCGTACGATCCCTGAAGTTAAGCAATGTCGAGCCTGGTCAGTAAATGGGTGACTGCTTGGGAATACGAGGTGCTATACGCTTGGATATGTTTGTGGTGTAATAGGCTTACGGCCACATCACGTGGAAACACTAGTTCTCGTACGATCGTCGAAGTTAAGCAACGTTGAGCCTGGTCAGTAACCGGTCGGGTGACCGCTTAGGAATACAACGTGCTGTAAGTTTAGATGGGCCGGTTGTCTAATTGATAATGATTCAGAATTGGTAATCGGTGAGCCATGTTCTTATTCCATTTGGGTTCGTTTATATTCATTTACGCGTAAATATCAATGGGAAATGCATAGATCCACCTCTTCTCCTCAAAACTATGGGTTAAATAGTAAGATCTGTGTGACTAAACATTATTATCTAAAAAAAAATTCTTACAATCTAAAACGATTTTCTGGCTTTAAATACCCTGCAAACAGTTGATCATCCGTAGAAAATTAATCAATCTATGTTTATTAACTAAACCTTGCACCTGATTATTAATTTTCATGAGTGTTTATTCTTATATAATTCTGTTGCTTTTTGACTCCAACAGCTAGGATCTCAAAGTAGGATCGTTAAACAAAACAGGCTTGATGTGAAATAAAGAATCAATTATATATATATATATATATATATATATATATATATATATATATATATATATTCAATATTAAAATATACACATACATATGCAAAATATATAAATATATATACATTTAAACTTATACCCGTTCCACTCACCTCTCCTAAAATTCTCTCTGTTAAGGTTTAATCTGCCTCCTTCTCTCGTCTGTTACCCGTCTCTTTAGCTCTAACGTTCGCCCCAAACTCTCATACTTACACGATTCCAATGGAATAAATTATGACCATGGAATTTTAGTGCGTAACCCTTTTTTATTATATATATATATATATATATATATATATATATATATATAAGATTGCTGTTGTTCCCAGGTCTGCCCTGACCCGGGGTGGTAGCACCTGTTAGGGTCCCAACTATGGGCAAATAGTGTCTACCAGGGCTGACCAAGCTCTTTAGCGTTATAGAACACGATTGGTCTAGGAGATGGAAAACTCTTACACGAAAAGCCTGAGGTATATTTCCTGCTTCGTCTGTGGTATTTATTTGCACCGACTAAGTGTATCAATAGATACGAAATGTGTGGATGGTTCTGCACAGACCTTTACCACTTTAATCAAATCACTTGTGTGGATTTTCTGGCGTTTTACCTTGATTCGTTCTTGTCCATACAAAAGATATCAACGTGTTTTAGTGGACTCAGCAATTTTCAATCTGCTTGTCGGAATCATCTTCAAGAAGCGAGAGCAAGATCTAAAAGGTCAGCCAATCTAACAGTGATCTCATCTCACAAATCTCACACCTGCTCCATATGTGGCCTCCTTTGTAAATCACTAGCGGGTCTTAAATGCCACTTAAGATTATCGCATAAACTTTCATAACTGACTCAATAAGCTGACAGATCCTCATACGTCGAAACCGACGGGAGAGTCCATTATATATCAGGAGAAAAATGACAATACGCCATCAGAGAAATTCAAATACTCGTACACCTACATTTTTTCAGTGAGATTCACTTTTTACAAGACCCGGGATCTACTCGAGTAAGAGGGTTACTTTAGAGGCGATTTGTGTGTATAGCTGACGGAGATAACGATTAACCCTAGACTTGAATAGGTTGAGAGTGTAGTGATCGGGGAAACATCCTGTTGGCTGTCAATTCCACAGAGCAGTTTTTCGCAGAAAGAAGCTACTCGAGCGGAACTTACTTCTCACCGATGGAATATGGAGGGAATATGGGTGGTTTTCTACTATGTAAGGGACATGGCGTGTTCTTACTGTAATGGTTTGGCGGGGCCTTGGAATGTAGTTTGTCCGAGCACTTTCTATGGATGTAGCGGTAGAACAGTGGGAGGCTTTGGGAAAAAGTTCGAAGGTTGGAGACTGATTCGTCACCCACAAGTGCTTGGAGACGCTTTTGGACTCTATCAAGGCAAGGGAGTGAGGTCTTAGCAGTTACTGACCAGATATCCCAACAGTACTCCATTCTTTATCTCTGCGTGTCATTAATATAAATCGGCAAATGATACTTCGCACTTGGCAAACTGTTGGCTAGCTAATCTACCAGACTTCTGGATGCAGCCATAACACGCTGGAACACTGATTCCTGTACGGTCGCCGAAGTTAAGCAATATCGAACACGGTTAGTTTTTACAGGTATGGTTATTGCCATTATTTCACCACAAGAAATTTCACCGATAGAAATCTTTACCGCGCTGAAACTTCACTGTATGAATTCATTAGATTTTATAATTAATATTTTTTCTACTCGGAATCGATCCTTCAGATCTGCAAATCAACAATTCGCCCTTGCATGGAGTATTGCTGCCATATATGGTCTGGAGCCCCTTCTGTTTGCCTCGGAGTTCTTAATAAGATCCAGAGACGGATATGCAATATAATTGGCTCTGATCTGGCATCTCGTTTACAGTTGCTCTCTTACAGATGCGCCGTCGCCTCTCTCTGTCATTTTTACAAATAGTTCCATGGTAATTGCTCCAAGGAGCTGCATTCGCTGGTTCCCAGACTTCATGAATTCAAGCGCCCTACGAGGCTGGCATCCCGCTCTCACCCTTTCACTGTTGAAACTATTACATGCAGCCGTCTCTTCTACTTCAGTTGCTTCATATCTCGCACCTCTCGCCTGTGGAACTCCCTTCTCTGTTCCAGTTTCCCTGATAGCTATAATCTCCAACTATTCAAATGTAATGTCAATAGACATCTCCAGTTGTCTTGATCTATCCACTATCCTCCTCTTCATCCTTTCCTCTATCACTCCTATCTTGCTCCAAATCTTCTGTAACCCCGTGCGTTCTAGTGGCTTCCCGCCTTGTTTGGGGTGAAACGCTTAATATATATATATATATATATATATATATATATATATATATATATATATATATATATATTCTGAATCTAGACATATCTATAATAGCAAAATTGTTTGAAATGAGCCTAATGGGAGATATTACCAAATAAAACCATACAAAAATTAAGAACTTCTAGGCGAATTTGAAGTCTCGTTCTAAGTAACAAAGAAGATAACTGTATCTCGAACTCTTTTAGAGGAATATCGTATAATGTTGTTATTATAAAACCATATCTCAATAATAAAATTAATTAAATTAAAATGCATAATGTTAGTTATTATTTGCTTTCGCTTTGTTTTAAATAGCATTGTATAATAAAACAAGTACCATTTCTTAGTTTTCCTGTGCGTTTAATCCCGACAACTTTCCGTAACCGACTCAGTAACAGTTCATAGTATTCTCAAATTGAAGAAGTAAATACAGTACCTTTTGCATTCCAAAATTACTAAAACCACCACCTTCTCTGCATATTAAACGACATTGGCTTACTTTGGAGCAAGCGGGGAGAGCTGATTTACTGAATGCATTGTCACTTTGTCTCTGGTTCAAAGTGATGAATCCAACACTCTGCCTGGGTGAGGAAACGTTCAAAGAAACCAGTTGGATCTCGAGCAAACAATGTCACAATTTTGCTGTGATATGATCAGTCTGGTGAGCTTTTGATCCGGTGTCAGAAAACGTGACACCCACCGAGCGGGCAGCGTCGTTGTGCTATGTCCATTGTGCAGAATAATCTCAAATCTCTCAAGGGATATGGTAATAACATTGGCTAGTTGATTTATAATCAATCGCCTGTCATCCACCTACAAATGACTAACACAGTATATGATATCCTCGGTGGTGGCAGTTGCTGGACAAACAGACCTTGGGTCATCTTTAAGATTCTCGCTTCTACTTCTAAATACATTAATAACATTTGCTATTTGATTTATAATCAATTGCCTGTCATCCTTCTACAAATGAGTAAAAAAAAAATATTTTACATACGTTGATCAATAAAATTGGAACGTTTTAAAAATCTTTCAGTTCAGTTCGAAATTTCAGTCACCTGAAGAAGGCCGTAATGTACAACTGCCAATATGTTGTTAATATGGCAATAAAATTAGGACAAGAATCCGAAAAATTTAAATAATGTAAATCAATAAAAAAATTGTTAAATAATTATCCTTTTCACGGCATTGATTTTGATGGTTGTGAACTATTCTGTCCTTAATTAATGGTGGGGAACTTATGGGATACGCTGTAAGCCTGGATGTGTGAGTGGTGTAATGGATAAAGGCTTGGCATTGAAGATCAGAGAGCTGAGTTCCAATTCCTGTGTAGTTCGTTATATTCACTTACGCACAAATAATCCCTTGGGAATGGTGTGAATTCATCATTTCTATACAACTCCGCCAAGTTATGGATTAACTTGAAAAACATGATAAGTTGTCGTCGTTGACGGAACTCTTTGCCGAGTATTGGTGTGATCATACAAATATCCGCCTGTGTGAAATGTGTCCTTTGTTGGATCTGAAGAGACTTCCGCAGTCACTTCATGATAGAGTAGGACGGTTTTTAAGGTGATGGAGAGCTCTGGCAGGTGGGGAGCTCTCTTCGTCTCTTCTATTTGTCTGCTGGTGTTTCGGGGTTTGTTCTTTTTTTTTTTTCAAGGGCTGCTCTTCTCGAATTGGTTCTTTCTACAGCCCCCGTCTCCCAATTGACCAGATCGATTTCTGTCCTCAGCAAGATGTTATTGAGCTGATATTTGACTCGACGACGTGGGGGCTCCCCGTGGTCTCTTGCCAGATACGAACCCTGCGTATCAGTAAATCTCTATTATCTCCAAAAATATCTTGCAGTCTAAAAATATTTTCTGGTTTTAAATAACCTGCAAAATTTTAATAGTCCGTAAAAACAAGTTCAATCAATCCACCAGCCTTATACATGAGAAGTGGTTGACGTCTTCAATTCTGCGAGCAGGAGTTACCATTATTTACATTCGGAATAGCGCCACCTTTTTTGTTGTTATTGCCAGAGCGTTTTGATCGTTGCCCTCTCCATCCTTCTTCACGGAACTTCGAACTGAACTCTTTATTTATTTCACCGAGGAAGATTTTTTTTTCGTCCCGCTATCCATGTTTAGGGATATCTCACTTTCTTCCCGCTCTTTACCTTTAGTATTTCTCAATTATTAGTAACCTTCTTGTTACTAATTCACAATTACTGTATCATCAAATTCATGAATCAACGTTTAAATCCCCGTAAACGAATGGTTCCCAAACTTTTTTTTTTTCACTGGACCGCATTTTCCTGATGAAAATTTACTCGTGCCTCCCCACATTTGATGTGATAAAAAAAGTACATTTAAAAATAATAAAAAAATATACAGAGAAAATGTTAAGGGAGGTAACTGCGTATTCCAAGTCAGAATATTATCATTGATAAATATCTTCTCCAAATGGCGGATCCTAGTTACTATATTTCTAATAATTAATATAATGCAAAATGTATCAGAATCATCAAAATCGATCAAAATTTATTTATAACAATAATGGGACGCGTGCATACAATTACAATTAATCCATAATAATATTTTAAATTTTGAAATCATTCTTGGGATATGAATTTTGAAAATGTTTCTGAATCTTTGATTGTATTTGAATAATTCCGTTTCACTTGCTATCATTTTCCGTCACACTTACGATGCGCGCCCCATCGTTTAAGAACCACTGCTGTAGACTATTGAATGTTAAGCGAATTGACAAACATCGGAAGAAGGCCAGCGGCTATAGCAGTTGTTATAATAATAACAAAGATGGGGATATTAGTCGGACTATAAATAATGAAGCCTGTGTTTCGATAACTCTCTCAGTAATCATCGTGTTTTGCATTATGCTAATCGACATTCAGCTTAACACATAGATTTATTCATCACGCTACGTTTTCGAATTAGTCTAAGGTACCAAAATCAATCAATTATAAAAAAAATATCTGAGAAATATTTTAACAGGTCGAAAAGTACATTCCAAGAGCTAAGCAGAGCATTAAGAAATAGAAAAGTTTCGTTAGAAACAAGGAAAACAGTATGAAATGTTACGTGATATCAGTCCTCCTGTATAGTGACTTTCCAAGCGTAGCTTAGATGTGGCACAAGGCCGAAAGTATGGGACACCCAGTGAGGATCGAACTCACTATTCAGTCGTAATTGTTCTAGCAAGACAAGCTTGCTAACAATTACACCGCCTCTAGGTGCCCCAGTCCTCCTATATAGCAGTGAATGTTGGGCAACCTTCTCAAAGATGAAGAAAAAACCTGAAGCAACAGAAATGCCGTTCTACAAAAGGATGCTGATGATTATATAAACCGAAGATGTGAGCAACGAGAAAGTTTTAGAGAAAATGGTAATAAAAAGTAAGATTATACTTATCATCGGGAAGTGACATCTGAAATTTAGAGGGTGAATAATGAAGAAAGAATGATTGGAAAATCTGATATCCATTAAACAGATTGAAGGCAAGAGAATCCGTAGAACACAACACGTAACTAACTAAACTGAGGTTGAGAAAAATGGATGGCGGAACATGTTACAGGAGAAATAACAAAAAGACACAGTTTAATAAGCGCTACGAAGGATAAGAAATTGATCTTCTAAGTCCTGAAGAGAGACGGCACAGAGAGAAGTGAAGTAGCAGACCATTATTCCAATGCAGAGCTTTCAGTTCCAACTAGGTACAAACGTGTGTCCTTGTATTGGAATATTTTTTTAAATGCTCTACGTTTCATGTTGTAAGCAGTCATTAATCCCTACGGAATGTTTTCTTTATTATTTGTGAACTTGCAAGAAATCTTGGGAAATCTAACCGAGTGGTTTTCTATTGCATTTTCCACGGCTTTTAACTTAGGGTGTCCTTCTCCTGGACTTACTATTAATAACGAGATAGCGAGTGTAATGTACCATGCTATTTAAACGATAACTACTTGGAGAGAAGCGATTGATTCGTACATTTTCAGAGATCATTCTTGCGAAAGTAAACAACACAAACTGGAATAATACTTCAAATCGGCTAGGCAACGACGTTTATGTTAACCGCTTATTCAGTAGACGAATAATTCGAGTTTAACAATCCAGGACAGTGAGGCAGGCAAGGTAGAGCAAGCTAGAAGTACATGTTAAGGGAAAGTGAAAAATAACTGCTCTTCAGATGATCTAACGTCATTGACTTAATGTAAAATTATTTATTAATGACTGTAGCGTAAATGCGAGACAAGGCCTCGAAAATCGTGGAAGAAGATGATTCGTCAATTGCATTGCTACCATTTAACATGGTGAATCACAAACTGTGGCAGAAATGTTTCGAATATTTTTCCTTCCACTAAAAACTTCCATTAACGCTTCGCATTTTTACTGCAGGCACTAAAATCAAGCAATTTCTATGTTTTGCCCTATTTTGCCCCATATTTATATTTTTGGTACACTATTTACATTATTCGCCCTCTTGTCCTCATCTTTGTTGCCATATTTATCACAACGTTTCGGCTGTTGTACGCTCCGGCCTTCTTCAGGTGGTTGGAATGTCGAACTGAACCCTTTATTTCGCTCGCTGGGGTAGACTGTTCTAGTTCCACGTGCATTGTCTAATGGATGCCAGTTATCAGTTATCTCCTGTTAATTCCTCTCGCCAAGTTCTCCACCACCTTAAACAGGTATTGAAATCACAACACTTTGGGTCCTGTCAGTGGATCTAGCCAACGCCTTTATCCACTGTGCCATGTCTCCTTAAGGATGTGTGAATATTGTTCTCTTAGCCCAAACGACACATTCATGATCGCACTTTATACCGCATAATATTGCAATTTATCTCTTAAGTCCTAACTAATTCCCTATATAAAAATTTGCAGTGGGGGCGCTTAAGAACTTGTATAAATTTGCCCAGTAAATATTTACAGAAACAAAGAAAAGAATAGTCTTGATATTATACCTGCTAAACAATTTAATGAAGCTACAAAATATTGGTTAAACAGAAACAAAAAGAGATCTTTTCTTTTTGTTAATTCACCCCAAATAATATACAGTTATTTATGTCAAATATTAATTCAGCCACCAAAATTATAAATTTTAAATCAAAGTTTGCTTTTTATAAAAGTTTTGCCACTCTTTTGAAATTATAAATTTTAAATCAAAATTTGGGCACAATTATATTTTCGCACCCCCCCCGCCCCGTTGCTTAGGTTTAGAATTTTACAAACATTGATTTTGTTTCTTAAGAAATATATTTTTATTTAAATTTACATATTATAATTAACAATCACAAACAGAATTTTTTCCAGGCTGTCGTACCTGAGTCAACCCTTTCATACATGACAGAAAGTAAGGGGGTGGGGGGCGAAAGTGTTAAATAGCGCCAAATTTTCTTTATCTTGCCTCGCAACAACTCCAGCACTCAGAATAAAAAAAAAAATTACCAAAACTCAGGGAGTTATTCACATTTCTTAAAATCTGTTTTGGGTTTGTTTATCGGGTGAGTTCGAACGCACTTAGAAAAAGTGCATCCGCGTGGCCCACATGGCAAAGGTCAACCCAAACAAAGTGCAGTGGAGGGGCCTCGCTCTGGGAGAATTTCTTGTGAATTTTAGAATATATAAATTCTTTTTTTTTTATTTTGGAGTGAACAGATTCGAAAAATGTGCAGAATTGAAAATGCACTCATCTAGACAAAATTACAAATAGGATAAAAGCAAGCAAGATAGAAAGAAGCCAAAAATCATGCCACTCCTTCCAGAGAATTGAAATATTTGTCAACTAATGCGTAGGAAGATGAATAAAACTAAGGAAAAATACATGAAAAAAAGAAAATTGCCAATGACCACCCAACGTCTAACTACGGTATAAATGAGGCGAAGTAAAAATGAAACTTAAGCTAAATTCTCACGGGCTGGTTGGACGTATGAATCAATTCAGAGGTCTAAGAAATACGCTTTGATTGATTGATCGATCGAGTCATTTTCTACTTCTTATCAACATTTTTCAGGCTATCTAAAGCCAGAAAATAGATTGTAAGATTTTTCGTTTGAGATAATAATGATTTAGTGATAGATGTTTTACTAATTAACCTATAGCTAGGGGAAGAGGAGGTGAATTCATACATTTCTCAAGGGTGAATATAACGAACCCAACTAGAATTGGAACTTGGCTCGCCGATTAACACTTCCGGATCATTATTAATTACACTATCCGCATATCCAATCTCACAGCACCAGTTATTTCTAAGCCGTCACCCATCTACGTACTGATTAGGCTCGATGTTGCTTAACTTTGTTGATCGTTCGAGAACCGGTGTTTTAACGTGATATGGCTGTACGTTATTTATAGCACTGCATAGCAAATCTTATTTCACCTGGTATTCCCAAGCGGACATCTATATTGGTAGGGACTACACTCGACATTGCTTACCTTCGGTAATCGTACAGGAACCGGTTTTTCGACGTGATATGTCCGTAAGCCTCCGCTTAAATATTGGCTTTATATAAATTTTTTATGTTCATTATATCTTTGCTTGCAGTACCCATGGAAATTTCACAGGTTACTTATCATAATTTTCTGAATAATGATAATTCTTTATTTAACAATTGAAGAAGCTCCTTTTGATTTCCTCGAATATAAAATACCCAGGATAATATCACTATTGAATCTTTAAATATTTGAGATTAACAACTTTAACAAAATATTAGCAATAACAATCAGAAATAGGAATGAAGATCTTTATTTCAAAAGCACGTGTATACAAATAAAAAAGGTTAAAAATGACAAGTTTTTCCATTTCACTGAAGAAGTTAACCTTTTTGTGCCTATTGTTCCACATGTAGAACATATTTTAAGACATTGTTTATACAAAAGTAGAATAAAATCTGTTCATTTTATCGTTAAAATAAACAAAATATATCATGTTAAAATACAGGATAACCAGTCTGGTATAAAAGAAAAAAAAATCTTAAATCTATTAATGTAAAATAAAATGCTAGACCCAAGGGAGTTTTATTTCCCCCTTCCTTCCTCTGATATCTATCTTTCTGATTTCCTTCAATAAAAACGGAAGAGTCTATTATTTGTCTTAGGTAAGGACAATGTGTAACGCACACTCGGACTAAATTACAAACATGCAAAATTCTTATAGGATATTCCTTCTAATAGATTCAATGGAGCTGTTCCATGCATCGAAGACAGAGCGTGTTTCCACCCCCTGCCTTTTTCACTTTTCTAAATGGAACTGGCCTTTGTAAATATATAAAACTCGAGAATCGATTCCATATTTTTTTTTTTTATTACATAATATCGGACCACTTCGGAAATGAATTCTGACAGCTTCGGAAGTGAGTTAATTGATATTGTTTGTATGCAAACGGTGGCTTATTTCACATAGTTAATTCTGGAATAAGGTGAACTATGACGCGAGATCGCAATTCCAGCATTTACAAAGTCGCACTAAATATGAAGTATGTTAGGATATTATGGATTTTTTTGTCACATGAACTGTTTTGGTGTCTTCGACATAATTTTTGAAGCCTGCCAGAGCAAAACTTACTCTATTTGAATCTACAGACAATTTGTTGTGGGATTATTCAGTCAGTTTTAGACATTAAAATATCATTCGTTTGCAACATTTTTTTCATGTTATGTTAAGACTTCCTGTAAGTTTTTTGCATCAGATTTTATCGTCCATATCTGTATGTGTGAAATGTGTTTATTCGCAAGTCCAAATCAAGGTCAAATCGTGTTATCAAGAAGTCGACAAATCCTATATCTATACGAAAGGCATGCTGGGATATGTACACGTGGTTTCAAGGAAGGATTTTCGAAAGGAATGATGTACCGTTAACTCAGGTAGGATTTTTTCATCTTAACATTATATTACCGCATACTTTCTAGACACTACTTTAAACGTCATTTTAATGGATACCCGGACGCTATTAGACTTTCGCACATACCGCCATGTTTTTTCCCGCAACAACGGATAAAGTTTCATGGCAATTTGATGCCTAGTAGTCGAAAAAAGGCGAATCAACAAGCCTTTGAGCTAACATAAATTCCGCCAGGTATTCAAAATTCCTTACCTGTTGGTGGAGCCATTCATGGCTATAATTTAGCCTGGCCACGCTGACACATTGCTTCAAATCTATTCGTGGTGAATTCAATGTTGGGAAGCACAAACTTCTGAGTATGGTTGACAGTGTCATGCGGGGTGCGAACGTATAATAGCGCTGATACCCGTATTCGGATTAAATTATGTTAAACAGTGTATAAATCGCGTCTATCGGCTTACGAGCACGTGAAATGTTGTTCTGGAGTTGGCAGATCTATATCCGAAATACTCCGTTTAAAATTACAAATAAACGGTACGTATATTTCAAACCATTAAAATAAAGTTTGAAATAATGATGTCGTATTATTTATAAATTCATTCATAAAGATAAACATAATTTTTAAACTGCAGAAGCTGGAAACTTTAATTGATTGGTCCACTCCTAAAAAATAAAAGAAAATCGGAGGGGGCATTATTTTTGTGCTTAATTGATTAGACTTCATTAGGCATTCCGAAATCCATGATATTTATCAGAAATGAAAAGTATTTCTCTATTTTAGAAGTGGGTGCAGTTCATAATATAAATACTGCGTCAAAATCGCTCCCATATTTACATTATTTACAAAAAGTTAAATTTGAATGATTCTCCTTTTACTCAATTCGTAATAGTATGTAGTTATTAATGACTTCGGTACAATTTCAAACTGGATTTTTACAAATAAAAACACGTTAAAGATAACGTTAAGTCTGTGATCTATTAGGCATTGATTTTATATTCTGATAAGAACCCCCACCCCTGCTTGAAATGCATCATTTTTCGATTCCGAAATAAATCGTGGCTTTGAGAATGTCTAATATTTAGATTTTCTCAAATCCACGAAGATGCTATTTTTTATTATTAGCATCCATTAGACTTTAATGAATGCTAATATTAAAAAAAAAAAAAAACAAGACTTCCACTTTATTTTTTATTTATTTATTTTTTTTAACAATCAGACCTGTGAGATTTAGTGTTGAATCCGGGGTCATTTCTCTGCTGATACATTTTAAATTGGGTTACTTAGGAACGGTGTAAGTGCTTCTGACTGTCAATTACACATTCTTACATGTAGAAACTGATTTTCGGAGTGAAAAAAAAAAACAAGTTGCTGACTAGACAGATTTAAAACTATGCCATTATCAACATATCTAGTTTTGCCACTCTTCAATTCAATTCTGGTTTTAATCAATCATTGCTGACACAAGCAACCTGCTCTTCCTATATATATATATATATATATATATATATATATATTCCGAAGTGTTCATATTTAAGACGAGGTAATAAAATCGGTACGTTATTGATTTCCTGAAAGCATTCGCTCTAATTTTTAAGCGTTTAGATTACTTTTTTTCGCCTTACTTACACAGAAATATAACGATAAATATGCACACGAAAATTACGACAATATCCAGCCATTAATGTTCAATTGACAGAACAGCTCATGAATGAGCATGTACACATTTAATTTTAGTTCTACTGGTCATATTTTTAGACATCAGACTCCATTTTCTGATACGAGTAATGACAAACTGAAACTTTTTCCGAAGAACATTCGCCCAACCAAGCCTGGAAAAGTCTCGTAAGAATACATGTTAATAGTAAGGACTTAGACTTGTATATAAACTACGAGATGATAGAATTTTTTTTTGTATAGATACAGGTTGCGCATGTTCTTGGCTCTTGGAAAATAAGTAATCACTAGTTTTTACCTGTGAATAATTCACGGTTTTCCTATTTCAATTTTTGAACGTATAATTAAGTTAATGTTTGAATAAGCTCATGGTGAGTTCTACGACCAAAAAATATGCGTATCAATTCCCTTATCTGATCGTTAAATATTTGAAATAAACAACTTTAACAAACTATTGCAGTATATGAATGCTGGCTGCCATCTTTCAAGAAGTGGGTAGAAATGAAAAGATTTCAAATTGAAGAAATATTCCATTTCACTGAAATGGCCATTAAACAATTATCTTCCTATTTTATTTTTCTCACTGAAACCAAGTTTTGTTTCAGTTTGAACACTGAATATGCCATTAATAAGTATTGGCAAGGCGTAACGGTTGTATGAACTAAAGAAAGGAAGGACAAGAACAATTGTAATAGAACACAAATGAAGTATTTTAATAGATTTTATATTCTTGGAAAACGGGGGGTTAAAATTGCGACCCTGTCCATTAATTTTTATTTTTCAATACATTGCAATTATTTTAGCCTAGCAACTGTGCTTTTATTGTTGGCTAATGAAAGATATGAGAAAATTGAGCGAATTTGCTCATATCTGCGTTCTGACATGAAATACTTAAAATGTTTGATTTTGGCTTTGCTTTCACAATATTTCCAATCAAAAACATTTCGTATTGTATAAATTGTAGATAATTTTAACGCGTTGATAAAACTGTTTCTTTATCCACTCAGTTTATCAGTTTTCATGTCATAAAATATCCCCAAAAGGAATAAAAGAACAGTTTTTTTTTATTTTTTATATTTGACGAAGTCGTGTTATATATTTAACTGTTAGTCTGAAATACAATTTACATAAACAACAGCTAAAGCCGATTTTGAAAATTACGTGCCGCCAAAATGGATGCGTATTTTTTTTTTTTTTTTTCGAACTGAAAACAAATCTATACCTATTGTATTAATTTTCCAAAAAATTGGCAATTATCCGATTCAAACGGAATTTTCATCACTCTTCCATTAATGAATGGTTCGTATAGAGAACAGGGCTTTAAGTAATAATGGCACTGGTAAAAATGCCTCAAATGGAAAAATGTTGGGAAAAATTTCCATTTGATAGTAGTTGATCTCATTTGTTTTGTATATATGTATCATTGGAAGCAAATATTTTCTTTTTCCTTAACGAACGACTTCCATGATGGGGTTGTGGTAGACCGACTGAGATCAATGCCATATACTTGACGGTTCTCGGACAACTGAACCAGAAGTAGGCAACTGTTCTCTGATTAGAAATTAAACATTAAATTCAACACCTACTGTTTAAAGAGTTTTCCACTTGTCATTATCGCTGTTCACTATAAGTTATTTTATTATAAAATTTGGAATAATATACTGAGTATGTCTCATCCAATTTTCAACAACACTTGTGTATTTGTCAATTTGGAGGTTTCCATATTTTTTGACAAGTATAAAATTAATACTTGAATTTATTTCAGTGAACAAATGAAAGATCAATTAAATAAACTGTATTTTTTCCCGAATCGTACCATCATTT